GATTTATTCCTCAAGAATCTCAAATAATCAAACCTACCATTCATTCTGAAGTTTAATTGTTAATTCAGAGTCTCTATATCACAGAAGTTTTTCTTTCAGGCTTAATTTTTAGGAATTTAACCCTCAACATATTACAGCTGTGACTAACATTTTTAAGTAAAGATAGTACCCACTATGGTTGACATACATTTTTTCACAAAATATATAGCTTGGACAAAGCTAGGCTTTAAAACATTGTTTTAAATGGAAACAGAATTTAGAAATCATTTAATACAATCCCTTAAGTGTCAATGGATAGCAATGTATCAAATACTACATAGACATATAAAAATATGTGTGTATGTTTATTAAGAACTGGGAGGCAACTTTAGAATAGTTTGAATATGAACATTAAGATTATAGATAATTTTTTTCTTTAAATGATCTGTATTGTTGTTATTACATTGCTTATTTGATATAAAAAATATAGTAAACTGTATTGCAGTTAAAACCTATAATCTCTACTTCATGTCATTAACTATAACACTTAACCCTCAAATGAAGGTTTAGAATGAAAAGCAAAGGCAAGGGGCGCCTGACTGGCTCAGTCGGTTAAACATCTGCCTTCAGCTCAGGTCATGATCCCAGGGTCCTGGGATCGAGTCCCACATCGGGCTCCCTGCTGAGCGGGGAGCCTGCTTCTCCCTCTCCCTCTGCCTGCCACTCTGCCTGCTTGTGCTCTCTCTCTGTCAAATAAATGAATAAAATCTTAAAAAAAAAAAAAAGAAAAGACAATCACCCCTAATCCTTTTACTGTTCATTGCAATACATTTTAATCATGTAATTTTGTATCTTAAAATTTTCTCTATATTGTTATTCTAAAACGACCATTCCCCTCAAATATTCAAACCACAAATTTAGAATATTTGATTTAGATAAATCTTTTTTAAACAACTGATTTGTATCCGCCTCTCTGGAAGTCCTACTTTGTTAAACCTGGATTTTCAAAAGCAGTCATTCCTTTCTAACTAGCAACACGTGGACTTGCAGGCCATGAGGAACCTGCAGCACAGTCTTTACATTTTATTTAAATTTGGCATAACCTCAGGAAATCATCTGCACCTCCTTGCAATTAAGTAGGTTTTTTCCTAGCCAAGAACAAAACAAAACAAAAAAAATACCAAAACCCCATATTATTCTGATACCTAAACTTGGTTAAACTCCTCACTCTCCACCCTTATTCCACTATCACACACACACAAAGCCACTGCTAAGTGATAATATATTTAAATGAACAGAAATCATTTAAATGTATGCTTCGGAGGAAATATGTCTCTGTTCATATTGCTGGTAACGTATCTCCAGAGCAATCTGAAATGTCTTAAATACTAGTAATGAAAGACTAATGTAGTTGCTCAAACCCTTTAACAAAGAAACTCCTCTTCCAGCAATGTAGTTGAACAAGATTATTTTTTAAAAAGTGAAATATAGGGGTGCCTGGGTGGCTCAGATGGTTAAGTGTCTGCCTTCGGCTCAGGTCATGATCCCAGGGGCCCTGGGATCGAGTCCTGCACCAGGCTCCTGGCTCAGCGGGGAGCCTTCTTCTCCCTCTGCCTCTCCCCCTGCTCATGCTCTCTCTCTCTCTATCTCTGTGTCTCAGATGAACAAATAAAATCCTAAAAAAAAGTGAAATATATTCCTATATGTAATGATATAAGAATAAATAGCAATTGTACAACAATAAAAAACTTGAAACCACCTCAAAACTGGCTTAGTAAATTATGTGGTATCATTAAGATTTATTATTGTGTTGCCACTACAACAAATTTGGAAGCCAGGTAGAAACAAAGAAAGATTTATACGATCTAACAGTAAAAGAAGCAAAAATGCTACATATACTATAACTATTAGTAAATACAAGATGTGAACACATTAACAAGAACTATGCAGAACTAAGAAAAGGACAGCATGTGTGATTAAATGTGATCTTTTTATTTAAAAAAATATTTTCAACTTTTCAGTCATAAAAATGTCTTAAAAGAATTTAATGTGAAGTGAAAAAAAACCTGATAATCAAAATTCAAAAGCAAAAGTAACTTGTCCTCGTTCCTAATCTTATTTCTAAATGGACCACCTCCCTGCCTTTTAGGTTTTACAAGTAAACATTATCTCTGTTCCAATCCTGAAGGCTTGCATTCATACACAGCAGTATAGCTCGGGAGAGAGTTTATTTACAGAGGGCAGGACTGAACTTTGCATGTGAGCACATACAGAAAACGATAAAGATCGTTATGTCCTATTAGTAATTTACAGAATTGTGATTTGCTCCACCCAGTATACCTATAATTGAATTCCTCAGCCATAAAATCATTGGGACCAAACAAGTTCAGATATCTTTTATCTAAGCCCTTTTTTCTCCCTTACCATCAGTTAACATATTTCTTCTGGGGCTTTTCTTCTTTTTATAGATTCATTTGTCTTAGTTATAAATTAACCCCACAAGCAACTCTCCCCACAACCCAGCTCTAGTGTGTCCTGTGTACCAGGCTTCTTTTTACACGCACAATTGATGACAGAGGGGCCATTTAAACTGCCCGTTGGTAAATGATGCCCAGGGAATCGTCTCTAGATTAATAACAAGATAAAAAATTCCTGGGCGCCTGGGTGGCTCAGTTGGTTAAGTGTCTGCCTTCGGCTCAGATCATGATCCTAGAGTCCCAGGGTCGAGTCCCACATCATGCTCCCTGCTCAGCGGGGAGCCTGCTTCTCCCTCCGCTTCCTGCTTCCCCTGCTTGTGCTCTCTCTCTCATTCTCTCTCTCTCTCTCAAATAAATAAATAACATCTTTAAGAAAATAAAAATAAAAAATTCCTCAGGATAAAGGCCCTCGAGCAGAGAGTCTCCTCACAGCTGGGTACCCTGGCAAAGAAGTGGAATGCTAACTGCTGGAAACTTCCATTATTTCTTTTTTGCTTTTCAGAAAAATTGTGGTAAAATACATACAACATAAAAATTTACCACGTTCACCATTTTTAAGTGTACAGTTCAGTGGCACTGAGTACATTCATACATTGTTCAACCATCACCACCATCTACCATCTCCAGAACTTTTTCATCTTCCCAAACTAAAACTCTGTCCCCATGAAACATGCACTCCCCATCCGTCCCTCTTTCAAGCCCCTGGCAGCCACCATGCTGCCTGCGGTCTCTAGGAATTTAGCTGCTCTAGGTACAAACTTCTGTTTTTTCTTTTTTCACCTGAATTGTGTAAAATAGTGTAGTTTACAAAACTGGTTGAACACAGAGTTGCGTGCAAAAAATAAAAAACTTAAGAGAGGAATTCCTAATACTTAGCATTTCATTTCTATGCCCAAATGCTTGGATTCAGACCAAACACTCATTTTTAGATGCCAAAGTATATACCTGCCCCTTACTTTGTCTTTCAAGAGTTTGGTCTTTCAATTTGAAATGGCTTTAGGTTTTTCTAAAGTCACACTGATTTTCTAAGCAAACTATAGCTGCTGTTCATTTTCTGTAAGAATTCAAGTTCCCTTAGTACTACTTGTAGTCACTGAATTCCCAGACATTTTGCCTAAAAACAATACGATCTTCCCTCATCTTTACCATTCAACTATAAGACTCCTAATTCTCCTAATTCTAAGTTCAGACGTTGCCTTGGGTTATGAAGATTGATGGGCCAAGAGATTATTAATGAGATCTAAAAACCCAGTTTGGGTTTGAAAATTCAAATCAGACCCTGATCATCACCAACTAAAAACTTTGCTAAGGTATGTTTTCCGAGGAGGCAGAGCCCTGTGGAATTTTCCCACTTACAGGTCTTCTCCGGGACTGGAAGTAACTCGCTGAAGTAGTAAGTGGAGACCAAACTTGTGGAGGTAGGGACTGCAGTGTGTATGGCTAGGATTAAGAAACACAGTTCAAGGAGTATCCTTGATGAAAAGAATGCCCCTGCTTCTCTCTGTTCTAAGATGTGCAAACAAATAGAAACTTGCCATATAAATCAATGAAAATCTAACGAGAATGATTATTTAGGGACTCCAGTGGGACTTCTAAAGAACTTTTTATTTCAAAATAATCTGAGGCTTACAGAAAAGTTGCAAAGACAGAAAGCTCCCATGTACCCTCACTTAGCTTCTCCTGCTGTTGACATATTACAACCACAGTACAATGATCAAAACTAATAAATTAACATTGGCACAAACCTATAAACTACTCTCTTTGGACTTCATCAGTTTCTCCACTAATGTCCTTTCTCAGTTCCTGGATCCAATCCAGGATCCCATATTGCATTTAGTTGCCATATTTTCTTATTCTTCTCCAAATCTGGGGTAGTTCCTCAGTCTTTTTTTTTTTAACAGCTTTATTGAGGTATAATTGATATACAGAAACTGCACATATTTAACTGCATTTATTGATTCAGTCATTTATCTATATCAGTGTGGAATCACGTATATATATTTTATTTGGGGAGCTATAATCCAACACTATAGTTATTTATTTTCTTGCTCAAATTATTTCAGCTTTGGCCATTGGGAGCTGGAAAAAATGTGAGCAATAAAATAACTATAGTATCAGATTTTATCTCCCCGAATAAAAAATATATATATGAGTATTAAATACTGAACCCACTTTCTCCTTTGTGAGCAAGGATCACGGTTGCATGGCCTAGAGGGAACCAGGCAAGATATTTTTATTTTTATCTCAATTTAATTGTAAGTATTATAGGAACCTAAAAAAATATACTTGTACTTGAGACTTAATTCTAAGGATCTAAGTTATTTTCTAACTTCTAGGTCACTCTCTTATCTTTGTTTTGTCTTAGACAAATACATTACTGTGTTCTTCAACTGATGGTAAATTACACAACAGAAAGTCTTCTGATAGCCAAAATAAAAGCTCTCTAAGAAATTTTACAATAAAATATTATGAAGCATTTGCATGTTCTTTTAAAAAGATACTTTGAAATACCAATTTAGTAAAATAAATTCTGCATTTACCTACCGTGAAAGGGCGACTCTTGTTTGAGAAAATGGTCTTCTTGTATGCTGTGGCTTAGAGTTGGCTTCTTTCAAATCTGAACAATTAAAAAAAAATACACAAAACATTTGATATACACATACTCAAAATTTTTAGAGAACCTAGGCTGCCAAAATGTACAGGCACAAATAAATTTATTTTCTCTGCTGGATTTCACTCTGAATATTTGTTTTCCCTTATTTTTATATTCTCTAGAAGTAACCAACAGACTACCAACTGTAAATCACACAGGGCTGGAGAATCTTCTTAAAGAGACATGTATTAGATTTACTTCACCCACTCTCCTACTTGTCACTGATCATGAGTTAAGGTCTTTTATCTTATCTATCTTTTATGTCAACTTAATAATGACACCTACATTATTGGACAGACTTAAGAAAAACTAGATCTTAAAAGAATTAATAATCTCGGGTGCCTGGGTGGCTCAGTTGGTTAAGCGACTGCCTTCAGCTCAGGTCATGATCCCAGGGATCTCGGGATTGAGTCCCACATCGGGCTCCCGGCTCAGCGGGGAGCCTGCTTCTCCCTCTGACCCTCTCCCCTCTCATGCTGTTTCTCTCTCGCTCGCTCTCTAATAAATAAATAAAATCTTTAAAAAAATTAATAATCTCAAAAGATAGGTGTTTGCTAAAAGCTACACATAGCAAATATGCTATTTATTAAAATACAGAACTTCATTCTGTATTTTAGCACTGTATAATAGCACATGGCTATTAAGTCTACATTAAAAGTATAGTCACGTATCACAACCATTTAGGCAACAGTAGATGTAGCACAGTCCATGTGCAGATTTTTAAAAGGAAGACCCAGAGAGCAAAATATTCAAGTAAATGTGCCAAAGGTCTCAGGATTCATATCCTTGGCTCTTACGAAGGGCTCGGGGATCCTAGAAGAGCTGTACGTTCCATAAAGACAAAACAGCATCTAGTGCCAAAAGCCTTATCATCAGGGCCTTAATAGACCAAACTTCCAGACCCAATGATCTGCACAGTCTAACCTATACAAAATTCCTTTTTTTTCTTTTTAAATTCTACACCTTTGCAAATTTGGAACTCGCAAAAACTGTCCTATTACCTGATACATAACATCAAAGTAGTGGATTATGAGTAAAAAACGTTTTCCCATTTTGTTATTTCTAACATGAAAGAATATAAACCATAGCCAATGAATTTTGTTTGTTTCTCTAGCATTATTTAGTACTTTTCTTTGGGAATTGAAAATTCTCTTAACATAGACTCAACGCTAATAATCAAGTAATTATTTGTTTTCAGAATGGGACATATTCTTCTATAGAAAAAGCTGATTTGTCAGTGTTTTAGACCTGTATGTTTTGTTTTCTGACTGATTACCAACCTGTATGAGAGCAATTTACATAAATGCTCTCCGATTTGTTAGTCAAAAACTAAAGGAGTATCCACACCAAAACTATTCATTGTATATAACATGTATAACACATGAGAAACAACTTTATCTATAATGGATTATCACTTTGACTTTTTTTTATGTTAAATTAAACTAAAAAGGGCTTAAGTATACGGGGAAAAAAGGAAAGAATATTAATAAAGAAAAACTGGAACAAAATCTCTATCTGAAAAATTAAAGAATGCTGACTCCTGGTTAAGAGTAAATCATACAAGCTTTCCTTGACACTGGTCCCAATTTCCCTTTGAAATACATATGAGTTCATTAAAAAGTAGACAAGAAGAAAGTAAAGATAAACTGCCATGTATTCCTAGCTCGTGGCCCCAAGAGTTGGATCAAACAGAAAACTGGACCACCTCCTGCAGCTTTCAGAGACAGACAGAATTCTATAACCTTTCACCAAACTCTTCCTATAACTAAGATCAGTAATGTCCTTTCTTATCCATTCAGAATTGCACTGTACCACACATAAAATGTGTAGTTTCCAAACATTAACTGCAGTAGAGAAGAAACAAGATCCATTCTGGGGGTAATGTATATCAAGGATTACAGTTCTTTCACATTCTCCATCTGGTCAGTTAAATACAGATTGGTTTATATTCATTAGATTATAAATCCTTCTACTCATCCCTATATGCCAGAGAACTAGGCTGTGACAACAGCAGACAAACCCCTGACATTTCAATAGAACCCACATTACATAGGGGCTCTTCATACCTACTCATCCAACTTTTTAGGTTCTGCTAAAAGTCGTCTCTCAGATAAAAGTAGATAATAATGCAGACCAAGGGGCAATTTACTCAAACTAATTTGTCTGAAATGGTATAAATGGCAAAAGTTGACTTAAGAAATAGAAAAACAATTAACAATGAAAGCCACTGAAAACTTATCAAAGAATTATTTCCCCAAGAAGCTCTGGGCCTAGATAATTTTCTAGATTATCTTTTTCTAACTTTCAAGGAAGAGGTAACTTTCTTGTTACAAAATTGTTTATGAATAGAAGAAAATACCGCTACCAAATTAACTTTTCAAAAGTAGCACACTGATATTAAAACCTAACAAAAAAGAGAAAAATACCAGTCCTACTTAGTAATATTGATTTAAAGTTATAAATAAAATGCTAATGAACAAACTCAATCATATACTAGAAGAATAAACCACCATAATCAGGTTGGATTTACCTCAGGCAGATTTACCCCCAGAATATCTACTAAATAACGTGTCACAGCACTAGGTCAAGTTTTAAAAGAAACCGGATGATTATCTCAAACAATGCAAAAAAAAAAAATACTTCAACAAAATGCAACAGCCATTCTTGACATTGTTCCTTTAGAAAACTAAGAAACTTTAATAACAGGAATATTTATCTCACTCAAACTTACAACCAATATCATCCTATTTGTTAAATACTATAGCAGCATTTCCCAAAATGTTTTCTGTAGATAACTAGTTCCTTAAGACTTTCCAACAGAAAGGTTTCCACCATAAAGCAAATTTGCACACGTTACTTCTTTTTTGGAGATTAATAAGGTATATAAGCATTGTATATACTCCATGGGCCCTATACCTAAAACAAAAATCAACAATAACAATCTGCCTTAACTCAATTGTTCTCAAACTTTTTTGAACATGTCTCTTCACTTCACTCCTCAACCCACTTTACTGTGGTTTTTGTCCACCTTTCTACAGAAACTAAGGCAAAATTTGCACGTTTCCTTCTTGCTAAATCATTTAGACTTTTCTCGATTTTCACTCTATTCGTCCAAAGCTGTGCTGGTAAATGTTTAACAAGTGGTTCTCCTTACGGGGAAAAATGCCCTGATTGGCAGTGTTTGCCAATTTCTGGGGTGTAAATACTCCCACCAGGACTGAATTGAGGCTACCAACGTGATGTCACTGAGTGCTGAGGTGGGCAGAGCTGGAGCACGCCATGCAGCATTTCTACCATTCAGATACAGTCAACATGAACACAAACATGTAAAATAATTAGGAAGTGATGCCGGTGGTGTGTTTATTACCTTTGTTTTTGTTTTTTTTAATTTAACTTGTTTAATTGCAAGTATACATCACTGTATTTTTAATAATGGCTGTGGATAATAATGGGCTCACAGAAACCGTGAAAATTTAACAGCTGACTTTCACAAGCAGGTCTGAGCTGGCTCTGGCACACTGGTGTTCTGCAGTATTTGGTATTCTGTCCAGCCTTTACCACTGAAACTGTCTCCTTCTTTAGTTGCTTGGAGACCAGTTTCTCCTAGTTCTTATTCTGTCGCATGACTACTATTTCTCTTCTTGGTACCTCTTCTTTCTGAGCTCTTCTATCTTATGTGTCCTGAAAGTTCCTTCCTGGTTCACTCTTACCCATAAACCCTTCTGCCTGCTTATAACTCCCAAATCTTTATCTGTAACCACAACTATTCTCTCAAGAGTTCTAATTCTGTGTTTCCAACTTTTTTTTGGATATCCCTACCTGAGGTTCTTTGGGAACCTCAAGCTCAACACCACCCAAGCTAACTACCCATCTTCTCCCTCTAAAGAACAAAAGAAACACAACTCAACACATAATTGGGCCACTCCTCATTCCCTGCAAGATTAAAAGGAGTTCTATTCTCTACTCAGGTCTCTCAAAATATGTTATAGAAGATTCAGTTCATAATCACAAGCAACCCTTCTCAGGGAAGGGATACCGTTTTCCCTACTTCCCTTCAATGTTTTTCACACACCACACTCTCCAAAATGTCTCCTTCACCAAAACCCCTCCCACTGAACATTTTCTCCATTCCCAGCCCAGTCATTTTTTAATCTCTCCCTCTTCCTCCCCTTCCCAGCACTTTATCATGTCCTCCAGCTTTTCACATCCAGTCCCTTTCTACTCATTCTCCAGCACTTCCTCACAAAAACTAGGAAATGACCTTGCAAGATCAACTTTTCTAAGGGTAAGGGAAGAGGGTGTTGTATTATCAAAAGAAGATTCCCTTTGGTGGACTGGGGGAAAGTGAAAGTGTATGAACACGCCCAAATGACTAATTTTTATCCCATCAAACCAAATCTCTAACTAGTCTCCCCCTAAATAGCTGACGGATTCCATTAGAGGCCAGACTCAAGAAGGGCCAATTATATTCTTCCCTAGATTTTTACACTAGTCATACTAAATTTGCTATTAAATTTACCTCTCTATCCTGGGATGAGGCTTATTTTGATTAAGAGGAATCTAAGAGGGAGAGAAAAATGGAACTGAAGAATCTCTTAACAGTGGCAATTTTAACTGATGGTGGAACTACTGAATATAAGTTAAAGATTTGGTGAGATGATTTACCTTGTCACAAGTAATAAGAATAAGTACTTCAAGTTTCTTAGCATTTATGAGATACATAAACTGATGCAGTGAAACAAAACAACTAAAAGTTTAGATCTAATCCATGCTTACATCTGAATATGGTTATACTTGTGTAGATCTAATGATTAAGTGTAGAATGGTGGTAGTGGTGGTGCTAAAGTGTAGACATCTCCTTCTCTGGCAAGTTAAATACTGAAAAATTAGGCTTTTGTTAAAGAGTGTAAGACAGGGTGGCTGTGTTCAAAATGCTTGGGTTTGAATCCTCATTTTATCACCTG